ACCCCTTCCCCCGGGTCAGCACCACTCCGCCAGACAGCCGTCCCCCTCCCAGTCATGGCCATCCATCCATCCATCCATCCATCCATCCATCCTGCCCTCTCCATCTATCACCGCTTGCCGCCTGCCTTGCAGGCTCCACAGCTGCCCCTCCTGGGGCTGCTCAAGAACGAGAGCCCGATTGTCACTCGTCCCACAAATGAGGTGGACAGTGAGGACTTGATGAAAAGCCCCAGAGGCAAGCAGGAAAGGCAGAGGGCAATCCAAGAAGGCGCGGTCTCTCCAGGCTCACGCTGCGCTGACCCCACCACGGCAAGGCCGAGGCACAGCAGCCCCTTCCACCGAGCCCCCCGCACGCACGGCTCTGCCAATCTGCCCTCAACACTGCTCACTGGGACTGCCAGCAGGTCCATGGGGTGCCAGGGAGCACGGCCCTTTCCAGGATAGGAAACTGCTGTAAGTAAGCTGTCACTGCCCTGAGCTGAGTCTCCCCTTGGAGAAGGGTGAAGGACAAAGATTCAAAATGCCTAAAGCGCTCCCCGGCCTCAGCCACACATTACCTCAGTGCTCTGTGGCACCGTTGGCAGCAGGAGGATGTAGGTGCAGAACTGGCATCAGGAAGAACAATGCCCGTGTAGGTCACAAGCTTTTATGGAGAAAGACAGCAAGCTATTTCACACTTAACACCAGTATGCTAAATATTTGAGTGCTGTTCTGAGCCTCTCATACTTTTCATGACCATTTCCATTGACTTTGCTTTGAATCCCTCAGCTTCAGATCAAAGATGCTAAATTAAAGTTCCTTATTGCAGCTATTTATCCACATGATAAAGTGGAACAGAATTTGACAGGTTAAGGCATATGGAGTTTTTCTGCTGCTGTTGTGCATAAGGAAACACTCAAAACATTCAGAGATCTGTGATTTCCCACTCAGAACAGAGCCAGATGTATTTTAATTATAGGAAAGCCTTTGCTGAGCCAGCTTCATGGTACATTCACAACCATTCTTCACTTGTTAGATTCTGTAAAATGAACACGTAGGTTACTTGAGTTATGTATAAAATGTGTTTGCTCCTGGAAAATGAATAGTTCTGGGAGTTACTTTAGTATGTTGGCAGGATTCTATATATACTGAAATTTGCTCTCATTTTTTATTCCAGGAAGAACTTCACCTGAGTAAGAACCATAGTGAAGAACCAAGTATTTGTCTGTTGAATGTCACTCTTTTTCTACTGGTTTTTATTTCTGCCTTTTCAGAAGAACACCCTGGAGACCTGGAATAGCCCTTTAACTGAAATATTTTGATGAAAAATCTAGGTTTTTTGCAGGAAATTAACATTTCAGAGCGGAATATCTAGTTTCAATAACAGGGTTTC